TATATATCCTATAATCTACTAACATCTGGCAACTACGGTTTGATTGGTTGGTTTAACACTGGGGCTCAGAAGATAATACTAAGAATATGACACTTGAGCATGCTGAGTACTTTGAACTCAAGGACAGTGGAAGGCCTCTTTAGAAGCATCTTCAGAACCAAGACCTAGCCAGGTGTGTGATTCACGCCTAAAATCCCAGCACTAGGAAACCTGTGAGGCAGGAGAATTACTGTGGGTTCCAAGACAGTCAAGGCTACATCCAAACCATCCTAGGCTACAGAGGGAGACCCTGTCTCAAAAATGAGAGGAGGGAGGGAAAAGGAGAGGGAAAGATGGCTCTGAGGTTAAGAGCACATGTGCTCTTGCAGAAAGCCGAAGGTTACAAGCCAAAAGTCTTGGTGCTCTGAGTCAAGAAGCTGTAATACTTAGCTGGGTGCTGGCTACTGTCACTCAAAGCCCAAAGCAATAAGCCTCTGAGAACTTGTGAGCTACAAGTCTCAGGTATTAAATTGCAGAGCCAGACCTGGAGGAATGACTCACCTCTTAACAGCACAGGACCAGGGTTTGATTCCCAGCACTCACATGGCAGCTCACAACCATCTATAATTCCAATCTCAGAGATGCAGTGCTGCTTCTGGCTTCCATCAGTACCATGCACTAACATGGTACACACATACACGCACACGCACGTGTGTGTATGCATATATGCAGAAAAACACCCATAAACATGAAATATAAATATTTTGTTTTTTTGAGGCAGGTTTTTGTAATCTTGACTGTCCTAGAACTGACTCTGTAGACCAGGCTGACCTCAAACTCACAGAGATCCACCTTCCTTTGCCTCTGGAGTACCACCACCACCTGGGCATACAATAATATTAAATCAGTACTTTATGTAACTTTTTTGAGATAGGGTCTAACTATGTTGTGGAATATTAAGATGTGATAATTTGTTTATGCTATGGAACATTTGTTTTTAATGATACAAAGATGTGTTGCATTCTTTTATGTTGCATTTGTTTAATTCTGTGAGGCTGTGTTACTTTCCCTGTCTAAAATACCTGACTGGTTTAATAAAGAGCTGAATGGCATGAGAAAGGATAGGCAGGGCTGGCAGGCAGCAAATAAATAGAAGGAGAAATCTGGGAGGAGATCAAGGATCAAGAAAAGAGGGGGCCTGTCTCCCAGCCAGACACAAAATAAGAAGGAAGGAAAAGAAATACAGAAACAGAGAAAAGTATAAGCCCAGAAGCAAAAGGTAGACAAGATAATTTAGGAAAAGCAGGCAAGAAACAAACCAAGTTAAGACCGGGCATTTATAAGTAATAATAAGCCTCCACATAAACACACACACACAGGAAAATAAATATTATGTTGGGGCTGGAGAGATGGTTCAGAGGTTAAGCGCACTTTCCACTTGTGCAGAGGATCTGTCTTCAATTCCCAGCACCCACATCAGGTAGCTCAGAACTGGTTGTAACTCCAGTTCCAGGGGATCTGATGCCCTTATGGCCTTCTCAAACATCAGGCATACTTGTGGTAAGCATACATACACGCAGGCAAAACATTCATACAAAATAAAAATTTTATAAAAAAAGAGGCTGGGCATGGTGGTGTATGCCTCTAATCCCTCTGGAGGCAGAGATAGGCAGATGGTTGTGAGTTTCAAAAGCCAAACTGGCCTACATAGTGAATTCTAGGGCTATGTAGTACTGTTAGTTGTTTTTTACTCTTTGCTCTTGGCTTTTTTAGGGTATCGGCCACCCAGCTCCCAAATAAATCAGAGTCTTATTCTTCCTTATGAATGCTCAGTCTTAGTTCTGCTTGTGTCTAGCCAGCTTTTCTTACTTTATCCCAGCTACCTTTTTCCTCTGGGCTTTTCCCTTTTCTTCTGTATATCTTACTTTTATTCTTACTCTGTGACTGACCCCTGGCATACTCTTCCCCTTGCCTATCATACTCCTTCTTTCTGTCTTAGAGTTCTCTTCCTATTTATTCTCTGCCTGCCAGCCCTGCCTATCCTTGCTCCTGCCTCACTATTGGCTGTTCAGCTCTTTATTAGACCATCGGGTGTTTTAGACAGGCCAAGAATCACATCTTCATAGAGTTAAACAAATGCAACATAAACAAAAGCAGCACATCTTTACATCCTAAAGCAAATGTAACACACCTTAAAATAATATTCCACAATGTAACATTTTCTTGAAAGTTATTTCATCCTTAAAATGGGGTTGAAATACATAGTATCCTGTGCCTATGTAAAAGACAGGGTGTGGTGAAATACCTAGTATCCTGTGGCCATGTAAAAGTGATGAGCACAGGGGCTGGAGAGATGGCTCAGTGGTTAAGAGCATTGCCTGCTCTTCCAAAGGTCCTGAGTTCAATTCCCAGCAACCACATGGTGGCTCACAAGCATCTGTAAAGAGGCCTGGCGCCCTCTTCTGGCCTTCAGGCATACAGACAGAATATTGAATACATAATAAATAAATATTAAAAAAATAAAAAATTAAAAAAAAGTGATGAGCACAGAGCCTGGTGCATGTAAGCACTTCAAACTAGTAGCCATTGCTATCTGGATCCTGCAATTCTAGTACAACTAAAGTCTCCTTTTGCCCATCCGATAGAATGTTAGGTCAGACAAATGCATCGCTAATCTGACCCCAGGGATAAGTCTTACAGCCATGCTTTTACCATGGTTAAGTTCTCAAGTGTGTTCAGGGGAATCTGCAACAAAGAACAGATGAACCAAAAGGCTCAAGTTTCAGAGTTTATCTACACTCATTTAGCACAATCTTGCTGTCTCCCACACTTCCCCTACTTCATTGGAAAGCAAACAGGACAGAGCAGTAGAGGGATCACTTAAGACTGGGAATTCGACATCAGTGAAATAAGTTCCTGCTACAAAATAAATACTGGCTTAATGTCTACGCTAATGAGTGAGGAGCCTATAGGGAGGGGTTTAAGATTACCAGAGGAGATCATCTCTAAGATTAAGTCTAGGGGAGGATAAATGTGAGAAGGTGAGGTGAGTACCCCTCCCGTTATCAGAAAGAGCCAGGCAGACAAGCTGTTTCCTCTGCAGAGAAGGCGGCCATACCAGGATAAGTCCCCATGCCTGTAAATTCCAGCTCAGAGGCAGAAGCAGCTCAGGTTCAAGGTGGGATACACAGTGAGTTTGTCTCAACAAATGAAAAACAAAACAGCACTTCTTAAAAGTGTATACCAGTTACTTTTGTAACAAAACATCCAAAATAGTCTAAATATGTGTAATTAATATGTGTTAGCAAAACAATTAAGGGAAGTCCTTAGGAATAAAAACACACAAACAAAAACCCATACAAGAGGCACTATATGAACTTTGCAAGACTGCAGGACCAGCATGTATAACAAGGCTGGTGAGATGGCTCACAGAAAAAACGCTGCCAGGCCTGACCACCTGAGTGCCATCTCCAGAAACCACCCAGCGGAATCAATTTCCACAAGTTGTCCTCTGACCTTACATGCACGTACACACACACACATACACACACCCAATCACAATAAATAAAAATGCAACAACAGCCAGGTGGTGGTTCACAAGCCTTTAATCCCAGCACTGAGGAGGCAGAGGCAGGTGGATCTCAGTGAGTTCAAGGTCACCCTGATCTACTGAGTAAGTTCCAGGACAGCCAGGGCTGTTACATAGAGAAACTCTAGCTTGAAAAACCAAATTATATCTTTTTAATGAACAGTAATTGTTTTTAACCACCGAGCTATCTCTCTCTAGCCCCAATAATGGAAACCCAATGAAATACAATGTTTGGAATCTCCAGCTTGGGGGGGGGGGCATTCCAGACCCCATCTTCAAGCATGCCAAGTAGCAGCTCCCTGAAGCTGCCCTTCCAGACCCTGCCCCTGAGAAAGCCCCGTTGTGGGAGTTTATTCAGCCAATAGTCTATCAGGGTGTGGTCTGAAGTACTATAAGCACAGACAGGATGCGTGTTCTCTCTTGGCTGGCTCCTTCCCTGGAGAAGCCCAGAACCATGCATCCAGGTTGTTTAAAACGAGGCCCCCCAACCTGCCATACGGCTTTCTATCATGGGTTTCTCTTCATCCCCTGGGGCTACCCAGGAATGCTTTGCTCAGATTAAACCTGGATTTATTAATTCTTAATTCAGCTCAGTCTGATTGGCTGTGTCAGCAGAGCTTACTGGGGTACAGGAACCTTTCAACAAATATATACTATATATAAAAAATGAGTAAAGAAAGGCAGATTAGAATGCTCTCTCTATATATACACACACACACTACCAACAAATCAAAGTTTAGCACGTACGGCTTCTCTACTGTGCTAGGAAACAAAGCAGTGGGAGAGAGGGCGCAGTGGGCCAAGTACCACTGGTGCCTGTTGAAAGGAAAGACCGCTAGTTAGTTCCGGGCTGCTCAGCCCCAAAATAATCACACAGAAACTGTATTATTTGCAATACTGTTTGGCCAATAGCTTAAGCATATTTCTGGCTAATTCATATCTTAAACTAACCCATCTCTATTAATCTATTTATTGCCCTGTGGCTGTGGCCTACCGGGTAAAGTTCCGTCCTGCATCCATCTCTGCCAGGGGGCTACATGGCTTCTGACT